CTTACTGAAGCTGCAGTTACAATGATTCTGTTATCAGGTTTCCAGTTATTAACACTGATTGTCAATAGCTCCAGATTCCTGACTGCACAGACTGCAAATAACTCCTCTTCTATCCTAGTCACTGGGTTTGATGTCTTAACATGCTCTTCTCATGAAATAAGGATCTGTGGTACTAAAGAGAAGTTAGCACCAAAAACTTGTGCTCCTACAGTATATTTTAGCAACTCACAAGGCCAACATTTCCTTGGCTACCTAGAGTTTTTTGTTTGTGTTTTGCTTTTTGTTTTGTTTTGTTTTGTTTTGTTTTGTTTTGTTTTGTTTTCAGAACCCATTAAAGATTCTTGCTTTGTCAGCCCCCTAGAGCTGTAATGCATCACTGTGAGAGGTCTCCCTAGGCTAGTAGGTCTCAAGATGAGAACTGAGAGTATGCACAATGTTCTCTAGACCCCATTTGTGTGCAGTGGAGTCAGGAATAAAAAGAAAATAAAGATCATGTCGGAGGCCTACTTCTGTTTTGTTGCTTTTTACTCTCCCAAATGCTAGGGTGGTTCTACCACCAATCCTGTTTCAGATTGCCTGGAAGTCCCCAGAAACAATGTTTCTGTTTAAAGAAGCTAGAGGATGATCTGTTAATAAGGAATCTAACAATCTTTGTTTGTTGGTTTGTTTTTCACTTTTTTTTTTTTTTTTTTTTGTAGCCCTGGATGTCCTGGAACTTGCTCTGTAGGTCAGGCGGGCCTCGAACTTAGTGTTTAGAGCAGGCAGGATTTCAGACCCAGAAAACTAAATCGCTTACTTCGTCTCCCTCATCTTACTTAAGACAGGAATTTTTTGTGTAACAGCCTTGGCTGTCCTGGAACTCATTCTGTAGACCAGGATGGCCTCGAATTCACAGAGTTCCGCCTGCTTCTTAAGTGTTGAGATTAAAGGCATGTGGCACCACTGCTCTGCAGGAATCTAACAATCTTGAGCAGTGCTCTAGATAAGCTGTTGAGCAACTTATAACGCTAGAGGCCTGCACGTTATTGGAAGAAGAACTCGTTTCTTATCAATGTTCATTGTGCCAGAAATGTCAGTGTGTTTTCTCCAAAATTTGAGAGTCTGTATTAATCAGTGAGTAAATTTATATCCTGGGTAGTTAAGAGAGCTGCTGTTCTGGTGATCATTTGTACATTTCTTAATGTTCTCTATTACTCTGTCTAACAGGCTCCAAAATCACTACATGTGATACAGCAAAAACTAGCATCCTGAAATTCTCTTTTTACATATTGGTTCATTGTTGTCAAAAGGTCACATATTAGGAAAATAAGCACAAGAAAAAAATATTGGAAATATAGTTTTCATTTAATGTTCAAAACACATAATTACTCCTGCTGTTCTTAGAAACCAAGTCAATAGCAAGGAAAGGGGGCTGGGAAGATGCCGTTTTGACACTAAAATTTCTCAAATATGGCTAGTGTAAGATACTCCTTATCAAGCGGTCAGAAAAATTAAAACAATACATTCTTTCCTCTTCTCCTTTCTATTTTTCTGGAAGGTGTTTTGTGGTTGACTATTGTGAAAAAAAAATCCCAATACTTAATATTTAGAATCTGTTTTAATTAACACTTAATTTGAGGGTACACATGGTAAATATGAATAGTTTATATTTGATTAATTAATATTATCCTTTTCTGATTAAATTTATAGTGAATAATTTTGCAACTTTCCTCTTATTGTTATTATTCAATTGTAGCTAATTACTAAGAAGTAAAGGTCCCTAGAATTCAACATTAGGGACCTGGGAAATGATTTAGTAAAGAGTGCTTGACATACAAGCATCAGAATCTGAGTTTGGATTGTAGGACCCATAGGAAAATCTGGGCATGGCTGGGCGTGCTTGTAATACCAGCACTGGGATAGGGTACACGTAGAAATAGGGTGAGAGGGTACTGGGGGGGGGTAGAGAAGAGTGCTGTGGGTAAAGCACAGAGATAGAAAGGCCCTGTGAGGTGTTGCACAGCCAGCCAGGTTATCTGAAAATCAGGCAGCTAGAGCTTCAGCTAGAGATTCTGCCTAAGGAAAAAAGGAGAATTGTAGAGGAAGGCACTCAATGTATTCCTCTGGTCTACAAACATGCATACACACACACACACATACACACACACACACACACACACACACACACACTCACACACAGAGAATTCACCATTAGACAAAACTAATCTTAATTCCTTTAAGAAATAGAGTTTTATCTGATGAATTTAATATTAATAATTCAAAATATTGGACAATTTTAATGGGACTAGACTTTATGGTTAAACAATACTTTGAACTTAATTTCTACATTAAGGAACCTGGAAATAGTGAGCTATGAATAGGATGTTCACTTAATATGGTGAATTCTTATTAAATGTACAGTCTTTACTAGCGTCTTAATGGCTATTAAAACAGCATCTATGCAGAGCAGAAACTTGTTTCCCGGGTTATAAAAGCAGGATTTAAACTGGCTCTTACACAGGATGCTATTTTCTCATACAAGCACATGATCATACCTGAGTTCAAGTGTGAAACTTTCTGTTGCTCAGCTTTTTCAGAAAGTCACAGACCACACACTAGTTCTTTATTTGTAACTTTATGCTTAAAGTAACAGAAACAGAATACATGTGCTACCTCCCAGTGGCAGTTGACAGGAACTGCTCCATTAGGAGCAGAACACATGAGGGAGATAGTGACTTTTACCGTGTGCTGTGAAGGGAGTTATTCAACAATAAACATTTGGGAAGTATTTATGGTGAGTTGCAGGTGATGTAATACACTTTGCAAGCAGAATGGATTCAGATACAGGACCAGGAATAATTACTGATGAAAACTGACCTTAATATTTAAAACAGCAATTTTCTAAATTCATTGTAACTAATGTTATATCTTTAATGTAGCATTAAGGCTCAAGCAGTCATTAGTCTATTACATCTATGTTTTTAATACGTTAATGAACATATATTTTTTTATCACATAGGGTATTACCAAGGAGATGATGGCAGGAAAGCGTGAAAAACAAAGGGCGAGAGGAAGAAATGAGAGATTTTGAGGGAATGAGGAAGATGGAAAATAAGATACTCTGTTCTTGATCCTTAACACGTAGCATACCAGTTAGCATTTTATCTTTGTCTGATATGAACATTGGAACCTCTCGTTTTTGTAATTGATTAAGTCTTCAAGAATGATAATACCATTACAACATTCTTGTTCAAACATCTTTCTGTCAGAGAGCCTACTTATCTATTTAAAGTAATTACATTCTGATATCGTATTGTCTAAGTTTTTGCATTGTGGATCCATGTCTCTTTGTTCTGCTATCTTCCACTAAATGTTTTTCCTGTTTCACAGAATGCTAAACTTGGGCAATTTCCTGCTAATTCTATGCAGTGGTCTTTTCAGTAGACCTTACTGGAGTGTCCAGTCTTCAGTAGGCCTTACTGGAGTGCCCACTCTTCAGTAGACCTTACTGGAGTGCCCACTCTTCAGTAGACCTTACTGGAGTG